GTAAGTAAGTAAGTAAGTAAGTAAATAATTATATAAATACATATCCTGCTGATTATGTTTTTACTCAGTGGGTATTAGATATCATTAAAATCTTTAGTCAGTCATTGTTAGACTACCATTAGAAACCTGGAAGTACTAAAAGATGGCCAATTTGTCCTAGTATTGGACCACTAGGCCCAGTGGTTCAGCGGTTAGGCGTTCACATGCAAGTCCCAAGTTCCTCGGTTCGATTACATTGAGTAGCAGGAATCGTAGATTGCTATGCTCGTCAGCTGATATGGTTGAAACTGTTACGAGTTCACTTTAGTCGGTAAACTAAAGCGAAGACTAATGATCCAGTTATACGATAGGTTACTTTAATTTGAGCCTCCCAAGGCTCCACTAAGTAGAGAAAGAAGTCTTGACAAGACGTAGAAAGTGTATTCTACAAGGATCCAGAAAATATGGGGTTCTCTAGCACACAAATCGAGTTTATTTATATATATATCATAGAAACATGTTTGGGAGAGCCGAAAAATAGCGTACTAAAATTTTCCTGGTGGGAAATGTAATCTGAAGGTCAACTGTGATCAGCCCATTCTCGAAAACATAATATCCAAAATTAAGACTTTTATCAAGTGATTTCTGGGGATCTTACGTCCCCAACACTGATGAGTAGTCCCAAACGAGGATCGACGGCTGTCCAGTGCTTCTAAGTTTCTAATGGTATGGTCTAACAATGATCCACTGATGATTTCAACGTGTAAAAATAATTACTGAATTAAAACTGAACTTACAATTTTGTATTTTCTCATTGATTGAACTCGTTAAATTCAATCCAATTTCTTTCATTGACAAACTTGTATTCAAATATCTCTGTGGCAAAATGTTAACATTTGTAGTAGTAGGAGTAGTAGTAGTAGTAGTACTAGTAATAGCTAAGGTATTGTTAGTAGTATATATACTTGCATCAGTAGTACATTTATTTACCGTTGATGAATAACAAGACAATAAATCAATACTAACTGGTTTATACATCATCATGGATAAAGGTTTAGTCAACGCAACAGTCTCTGTTCGAATCAACTGTGATCGAGTATTATGCATTGACAAATCAATTGCCTCTTGTTGTTGAAGTTGCGCTTGTCGTTCAAACTGTCCGACCATTTCTTCTGCTTGATGTGATAGCGTACAAGAGAATGGTTTATGCATTGAAATTAAATTTGGCGGCAATTTCTTTCGACCAATTGAACATTGATAATCATAATCATAATTAATTATTATTAGTTATTATTAGCATCATGTGACCTTGTAGTTGTTGATCGACTTATCGAGTTGACAAGATGACAATGTGATGAAAATAATGATCGTTTTGATTTATTGTGTTTTTTTGTTTTAAATGATAATTTTGATTTATTGAATTTATTATTACTGGCGCGATTTAATTTCATTTGAATTTGATTTGAATATCGTGAACGATGATTGGTGGTATCATTGGGTAATGATGTTGATGTAATATGAGTCGAGGTACTTGTAGCAGTAGTAGTAGTAGTAGAGGTAGTAGTGGTAGTGATAGTAGTAGTAGTAGTAGTAGTAGTAGTCAGCCGAGGATTTCGATCACGTGGTTGATGATGATAAAGTGTTTGACTGTTTTTAGATTTTCTCGCTCCACCGGTTGCACCTGGACTTACACTGCCTAAAATACAGAAGAAAAGAGTATATAATTACGCAGTCCTGTGAGCTGGGTGTAGACCGTTGTGAAATAGGTTAGTTTTACCTTACCAACATTCATTCAAAGAAATACAATCTAGCCGTCGCTATGGTAAAACCTATTTAGTATGAAAGCAACCCCATGCACAGATAATTGGTATATGTGCCTGGTCGAAAGGCCAATGGTGCGAAACTACCGTCTAAGGGAGATTAAAATGTAACACCTACAAGTCTGAATGTCGTCCAAATTTGCAAAGGTACATTTTGTATGCAACACGTGTCCGTTTGGGTGTCTAGACCGGACTACGCGTTCAGTTAGGTCCATCAAGTCTCGTATTATGCCAGATTGATGACCGTTCTCTAGATTGTAGGATACTCGGGTTGACATGATATCGAATTTTAGTATGAGTGTGAGGTTACTAAATCGTCTGTAGACGATTTAATATTTTGTCCGGGAGACATAATTGTTTGAACAGTATTCACTATGTTAGGCACTGAATCCTACTCCTGTTTGATGTAATGATTTGATTTGACAGAGGAAGAAATTATCAAGCATAGTTGGAACCCTTCAACTGGGCTATAGGCGGTTGATGTTAGTTTTAGGTACATAATCACTGAAATAAAATCGATCGAGGCTTGGGACCGGCAATAGCCCCAGGAGGAGATGGAGAAGACAACCAGTGTAGCAACTGTAGCCTCAGAAGCAACAGTAGGTCTCAACATGCACAAAGGGAAGAGCGAAATTCTCTTATACAACACAACGAGCACCAGTTAAATCACACTTTACGGTGAAGCCTTGAGAGATGTTAAAATATTTACATATTACTGAAAAAGGTAAATCGGATGCAAATATGAATGCGTAGATTAGCAAACCGGGGGGTGGCATTTCTACAGTTGCCGAATGAATGTCTGGAACTCAAAACAACACTATCAACCAACATCAAAGCCACAATCTTCAATACAAATGTCAAGACAGTTCTATTGTATGGAGCGGAAACTTGGAGAAACATGAAAGCCATCATTCAGAAGATACAAGTATTTATTAACAGTTGTCTACACAAAATACTGAGGATTCATTGGCCAAATACTATCAGCAACAACCTACTGTGTAAGAGAACGAACTAGATTCCAGTTGAGGAAGAAATCAGGAAGAAACGCTAGAAGTGGATAAGACTGAGATTAAGGCAAGCACTCAACTATGTCACAAGACAAGACAAGATTCAACTCCACTGGTCATGTCTTCTCACTAGAACTTCGAGAATTTCCTCACAAAGCAAGTCACTAGTAAGCACATTACACGATTTTTCAATTACAGCTATGGAAATTAGTGTTTTTTAAACGTTTGAAATCATCAATCAAACATTGTTAGACCACACCATTAGAAACCTGGAAGCACCGGCGGACGGCCGTTTCGTCCTGGTACGGAACTCATCAGTGACAAAGCCCATCCAAGTTTCCGCTCCATACAATAGAACTATCTTAACATTTGTATTGAAAATTGTAGCTTTGATGTTGGTTGATAATGTTGTTTTGAGTTCCAGACATTCATTAGGCAACTTTATAAATGCCACCCCTCGGTTCGCTAATCTGCGCATTCATATTTGCATCCAACACACCTTTCTCATCATTGATGCTGTTCAAATATATAAATGTTTTTACATCTCTCAAAGTTTCACCGTGAAGTGTGATTTGACTGGTGAATGTTGTGTTATATCAGAGAATTTCGCTCTTCCCTTTGTGTATGTTGAAACCTACTGTTGCTGCTAAGGCTTCCGCTGCTCCTCCGGTTGTCTTCTCCATCTCCTCCTGGAGCCCCTCTAGGGTTTCTGTCGGTCCCAAGCCTGCTGTTGAGACCTACTGTTGCTTGAGACGAAGGCTGCGTAGGCCTTGGCCACATTGGTTGTCTTCATCATCTGTCCTGCCTGGTGTCTCTTCGTGGGGCTACCGCCAGTGCTCAACCCTCAGATCGTGGCTGAGACAGGATTTAGCGACCTCCAATCCCAATAGAATAACTAATACTAACTACATTACCCCCCCCCCAAAAAAAAATACGACACCCTCCACAAAAATTTATTTCATCATCCTAATTCAATATTCGTTTTTTCTACACAAAAAAAATGTTTATTTTCTCTCTTTTTTTTCCTTTCGGTAAAGAAAAAAATTTTCTTTCATTAAAAGGAAAAAAACACTGTCAACACAACACCGGGAACTTTTGAAAACGTCAACCATTAAACGGATGACACATTAAGAAAATCATCATCACATTTTCCAAGCTTTTCATAATCATGACTAATGTGATTATCCAACGCACACAGACAGACAGATAGACAGACAGACACACACACACATACGCATAGACACACACAAACTGATACTGACTGATACAACATACATTGACATATATATATCGAGTAAAAGATAGTAAGTAGACAACAAATGAACAAGTCGTTGTGTTTTGAGGGCAAAAAGTAGGAGGATCCACTTGAATGTAAAATCCAATTTAGACGGTATACAATACATATAAGTTGATTATTATTATTATTATTATTACTGTAATAAACGGTTGAAATTATCAACTGACAAGTCTATATGGAGTCTTAATTAAATACAACAAGGACGTTTGATTATGTTTACACCTCATTAAACATTTTTTAACAAAGAGAAATGAGATGAACTGTTATTTTATTGACAAGGTTAATTTGTCACATTTTAAAAGAGAAAGAAGGTTGTGAGCTAGTGAGCAAACGAGGGAGAGAGAGAGGGTGCGCACAAGGGAATGAGTTCCATGGATGAACTTAACAAAAAATTATATATAACAACCATGACCTATAGCTATGAGAGTAACAGTAATAATAATAGTTTTCAATTAGAGTTATGGAGATGAGTGTCTTTACACATTTGAAATCATCAGTCATTGATTGTTAGACCACACTGTTAGAAACCTGAAAGCACTGGAAGACGGCTGTTTCGTCCTGGTATGAGATTCATCAGTGGCTGTGAGCTAACACGACTTCTGCGCCTCGCAGGATTCGAACCTGGGACCTTTTGTCTTGTGCCACTGGGATGGCCTTAAACGGTGTTAATGTCTAACTCTGATTGATCTAAGGATTTTGCGTGACCTCACCCTTAATTGTCTTTGGTAGTCACTACTTACACCCGACAGGGTTGAACTCCTCCACTGGTCACGTCTTCTCACTAGAATTCCTAGAATTTTGCTCACGAAGCTATTAGTCACTAGTGAGTACATTTTGTGATATTTTGAATTAGAGTTATGGAGATTAGTGTTTATTGTACATTGGAAATTCAGGTTTCTAATGCTGTAGTCTCTAACAATCAGTGATTGATGATTACAAATGTTTTCAGGCAAAGTTATGGAGATTAGTGTTTTCACACATTTGAAATCATCAGTCAATCAATCATTGTTAGACCACACCATTAGAGATATGAAAGCACTGAAAGACGGATGTTTCGTCCTGGTATAAGACAACTCATCAGAAGTGCGCATCCACGACTTCTGCTGTTTACAGGATTGGAACCTAGGACCTACGGTCTTGGGCGCGCGAATGCCTAACCTCTAGACACCCTGAGCCGTCATCCAACGCTGTTAATGTCTAACTCTAATTAATCTAAGGATTTGACTGTCTCATTCAAGACTAATGTATATGATTACCTATGAATACATACGTATGTAGTATGAATGATTGAACATGTTAACGAGTATATGCCAATGAATTTCATGGAAAGTACTAGTTTCTGTTGAAATACTGATTGAGATACATTAGAAGTAAGTGTTACTCAATAGGAAACTTATGTCAAGTAATTCATTCTTTATCTAAAGACTACTTCCAATCGCCAAATATGCTGATGACAAGATAAACGGCATGAATCTCAACTGCACATCTATTTCTTGTTATATCATGAAAGCTTTCAAAAATGATCATTCATCCATTAAAATTCACTTGGGATTTTATTTTCTGTTTGTTTTAATGTAATGAGCTCATATTGATAGACAGACAGATACAACTCAGAACTTCGTACGTAAATACATCAGTTCAGGTTGCCATACCACGTCAGCATGGAGACGTAACTGTCAGTTCAAATCCAAGAGTGGTAACCCGATAGTAGAAGTATTAGCAGTAATGGAGAAGATTAGGGAGTGAAGATAGGATTCGAGAAGTATAATTCAGTAAGATAAATTTAAAAGGAGAAAGATAGAGATTATGAGAAATTCAGAAGGTTAGAATTAGAGAGAACACCATGAGTGGATGCATCTGCGCCAATGCCAACGATTCTGAGTCATGTCAGTCAAGGTCTCTAACCATTGGTGACGTTCGTCTCGTGGACCCCAACCAGGTAGCCTACGTCTACCAACATGACTCAGTCCACTTGTCAATGACTTCATGGATTTATGCCATGTTTTGGTTTGGCCGCCCCTAACTTTCTTCCAATCTACTCTTACACCACAAAACATAGCTCGTCGCGGCAGTCGGTGGTTAGGCATTCGTAACAAATGTCCAAACCACCTTAACTGATGAAGTTTCATTACTTCAGCGATTGATTGGCCATCCTTACCTAGAACTTGTTTCCTAACAACAGCATTGCTTATACGGTTGTCGCAGGATACACGAGCAATGCTTCAGAGACACCGATGATCGAATACTAGTAACCTACGACTCTACTCTTAACGGCCATGTTTCGCATCCGTATAGTAGGATAGAGCGAACTACTGCACAGTACACTCATCCTTTGGTTAGCAAGCAGATATCTCTCCTGCGCCATAAATGACGCAGGTTTGCAAAAGCCAATCGAGCCTTCTGTAATGAGCTCATATTGTTAAATATTGAAGTTTTCTATTCTCACCATATTCTGTTCTATTGAAGTGTTTTTTTCATTTTTAGAGTTAATGTTGTCTCAAAAACCACAGTAAAAGTGTCTCAACTGTTCATCACTTTATCACTGACTTACTCCTATTACCCATCATGGACTAGAGGCCACTGATCAATATTCTTCAGCCTACTTTATCCTGACCCCTCCTTTCTAGTTCTACTTAATTGCTAATCATTCTTCTCATATCTGTCTCAAATGTTGTATTACGTTCCTTAGTTTTCCTCTTCTCCTTTGGTTTAGAAGATTCCAGGTAAAGGCTTGTCTTGTGACACTGTTCGTTGCTTTCCTCAATATGTGTCCTATCCATCAACTCAAACGCTTCTTCCTGATTCCTTCCTATACTTCTCAAATATTCATCACGTTATTAGTGACTCACTTCTGTTATCCCCAGTGGAGCATAGGCCACACTGGCCGGTATTCTCCAATCTATACTGTTCTGAGCCTTCCTTTCTTGGTTCCACCCAATTGTTGTTCATTCTTTTCATGTCTATCTCCATTTCTCAGCATGACGTGTTTGTTTGGTCTTTCCTTTCTCCTCTGATGTTGTGATACTCTTCGGTGCTTTCCTCAATGTGTTTCCTATCCACCAAATCTAGCGCTTCTTCCTGATTTCTTTCTGCCCTGGAATCTGATTTGTTCTCTCACACAGTAAGTTGTTGCTGACAGTGTCTAGCCAACGGATCCGAAGTACTCTGTGTAGACAACTGTTAATGAACACTTGTATCTTCTGAATGATGGCTTTTGGTTTCTCCAAGTTTCTGTTGGGGATGTTAGATCCCCAAAACTCGCTTGTTAAATGCCTTATTTTGGATTTCATGTTTGCCAGCATGGGCTGATCAGTTGACCTTGAGATTTCATTTCCCACCAGGAAAATCCATGGCTGTGATTGACTGCTGTGTATTTTAGTGTGCTATTTTTAGGACTCTCACAAGGACGTTTCTGTGATGCATAGATAAACGAGAGTTGTCTGCTTGATTGTATTGTGCTTGCTGAGTGTTTGTAGAATATACTTTCTACGCTTACCAAGCCTTCTGTTTTACAGCTTGGGATTCAAGGTAGCCTATCTGGACGCTGGTTCATTGTCTCGTTCGCATTCATCGATCGACTAAGGTAAACTCGTAATAGCTTCAAGCGTACCTAGTGACGAACATTACAGTTTCCACCTTATACTGTAGAAATGTCTTGACATTATTTGTATTGAAAATTCTGATTTCGGTGTTGATTCGTTACTTTTCACTTTCGAAATAATTCAGTGTTTACAACTTTTCATTTTAGTAAGTGCGTGTACGAAAACTGACTATCATTAAACTATTTAATTGGGTTTAACTAATCACAAGGTGCCCCCAATAGTCTAAATGACTTGACAACATTTGAATTATATTTTAAATGAAATTATGAATCACTTAGTGTTAAATCACACTTTAAAATCTGGAAGCACTGGAGGGCGGCCGTTTGGTCCTAGTATTTGACCACTCATCATCAGTTTGTATCTATGATCTTCGCTCGTGAGTATCGAACCGCGAGACCTTCGATCTCGCTTACGAACGCTTAAACTCTAGATCACTGAACCAACATCCAACAATGTTCATGTGTGACTTTAATCAATCCCTGACATTACATAAACTCATTCATTATGTTCGGGAAGCAACTACCTACACCCAAAAACAGCGTTCAACTCCACTGATCACAGCTTCTTTAATATTAATATCAACCAATGGATAAGGAATCTTATTAAACTTAAATTTCCTACATATTACAGTGTTTATCAGCAATGAAAGCGTACAATCTTAAGTAAACCAATTTCACACAATTTCTTTCATTCAAAAATATCACTTTGAACATATTTGAATTATAGCTAACCTCTTTGAAAGACCAAGATATTTATACATTTGAAATCATCAACCAGTCAATCATTGTTAGACCACCATACCATTAGAAACCTGGAAGCACTGTAAGACGGCCATTTCGTCCTGGTATGGGACTCTTCAGCAGTGTGCTCACTAGTGACTAGCTTCGTGAGGAATCTTCTCCGAGTTCTAGTGGGTGGGAAGACGTGACCAGTGAAGTTCAACCTGTTCGGGTGTAGACAGTAACCACTACCGAAGACTGTGAAGAGTCCCATACCCGGACGAAACGACCGTCTTTCAGCGCTTCCAGGTTTCTAATGTTGGTCTAACATTGATCGATTCATGGTTTCAAAAATGTTATACATTATTATTCAAACACATGATTAATTGTATTGTTCATTGTGATTCAATGTTCAATTTAATTGAACGAACAATTGAATCATCATAGTTTATTTTTAATTGAGTATTGTCATTCATTATAGTAGTAAAATGTTACAATTTCTAAAAATTTGTGGAAAATATTAATGTATCCGTTTTGTGATGAAAAATTCTAGTAAAAATAAGTTACGCAGTTGTCAATTTTTATATGATTACGCATGAAAATGATAGAATAAAATGTGTTAGGTATAAAAGCCTACATCTCTATTTGCATATATATGCATATTGTTTCTTGAAAGATGCGCTTTCAATGTTCAGTGATATGGAAAAAAGGAATAAAATTGAATATTGAACAAAAGTGTAATTTGTTTAAAACACGATGATGATTCGTGCCATAAAGTTTCGAGATCAGTGATGATACTGTGCTGCAAGCTACTTATAAGTAGTATATGACGTGAGTGTCAACGTAATGTCTGGCAGCAGCAGAAGATGGGGGAAGATCAAGAAAGGAAGAGTGGGAACACAATGGAATTTGTATGAAACGCATGAACAGTGAGTGACAATGGATTGATGTTTTGCAACAGGAACAGTCCAGTTCGATATGATGAACTGATATTTTGCAAATGAACGATTTACGATATGGTTTTCCGATTTCAATGAGTAACTCTATAATTTTCGTTAAATACAATCCGGTTGCCCCACCTGTGTTCTCGTTCACTACAATACTATTTACCTAATAAACTATATACAGTTTATCATCAGTCTTCTACTGTTTTGATCTACGCGTCTTCTATTGTTCAAACTACACTGACCATGTTATGCATACATTTCGCTCTCTTTTCACTGTGACAACTTTTAGGCAACCTCTTGACGTTACATACTACTTATATGTAATTTTTATGAGTACTATTCACCAAAAAGGTATTGCGTTCAAGTTTTAATAAGGATATTAACTCAACAAATCTTTCACTTACCTGTTTCACTATAACGTTGTAAAATTTTACTAACACAACCATGGGATACTTTTAATTGACGTGATATATCACATGGACGTATACCACTATTGGATAATTCAACAATTTTTAAACGTGTCTCATATGGTAATGGTCTACCATTAATAAACATACCGCCTAATTGATTCACTCGTCCTTGACCTAATTAAAACAACAATAAAAATGAAAACGTCTAGATTAAAAAAATGATTGAATAAATAATTATTACACATGAACTAGAAGTAAATTTTATGATAACTATCTGAAGTCGTCAATCAATCATTGTTAGACCACCACCATTAGAAGCCTGTAAGCACTGAAAGACCGCCGTTTCGTCCTGGTATGAGACTTGTCAGCAGTGCGCATCCACGACTCATGCACCTCGCAGGATTCGAACCCGGGACCTTCGATACTGTGCGCGGGTGCCTAACCTCTGGACCACTGGGCCGGTAGTAACTACCAGAGACAATTAAGGGTGAGGTCGCGCAAAATCCCTAGATCAATCAGAGTTAGACATAAACACCGTTGGATGCTGGCCCACTGGTCCAGAGGTTAGGTGTTCGCGCACAATACCGAAGGTCTTAGGTTCGAATCCTGCGAGGTGCTAGAGTCGTGTCAGCGCACTGCAGGTGAGTCTCATACCAGGACGAAATGGCTCTCCAGCGCCTCTAGGTTTCCAGTGGTGGTCTACCAATGATTGGTTGATGATTTCAAATGTACAGTAAACACTAATTTCCATAACTCTAATTGAAAAAATATCTGAAGACAGATTTTTACATCGCTTAGCACAATTACTGGTTTCACTCGGGAGTAGGGTAGTTGTTTGTATACTGTTAAGGAGTTTCATACTACTTGATATGATATAGTTTTCCTGTGCTTCGTGGTGTTCCGCAGTTAGGCGTTCGCGCACAATACCGAAGGTTCCGAGTTTGAATCCTGAGAGGTGCAGGAGTCATGGATGCGCACTGCCACTGATAAGTCCCATACCAGGACGAAATGGCCGTCTTTCAGTGCCTTTACGTTTCTGACGGTAGTCTAACAATGATTGGTTGTTTTAAATAGTTTTTGAACGAAACTTAATTCATGGTGTTCAAATATCAATGTCTATTTATTAAATATCGAAAGACAAATAAAACTTATTTCTTATTATCACATAAATTATTTTACTGAATGAATATTCTAAGATTGAACATGCTACAAGCGGTTAATTCATATATCTTATCATTTATTAAAATGTCTTGAAGTAAAAACTATCTATCTATCACATTAAACATTTTTAACTGGTATCAGTAAGTTTATCATGATTACAATTGTGTATTCGGTAGTAAACATTAGAGGTGTACGCATTGAAATCATCAATCAATCATTGTTAGATCACACCATTAGAAACCTGAAAGCACTGAAGGGCCGTCTCGTCCTCTTGGTATGGGACACATCAGCTGTGCGCATCCACAACTCCTGCAGCTCTCAGGATTCGGATCCAGGGCCTTCGGTTTTGCATGGGCGAACGCCTAACCTCTGTACCATCGGGGCCGGTATTCAACACTGTTAATGTCTAACTCTGATTGATTTAAGGATTAAAAGTGTACGTTCTGGTGAATGCACAATCTTGATAAAAATAACATCAGTCTTAATGTAATAGAGTTTCAGTTTTTTTTAGTGAACAAATTGGAAGAAATAGTTGCGTAATTAATGTTCTCGTGCAAGACCGCAAGTCATGGGTTTCGAATCCTGCCAGCTGCAGGAGTTGTGGATGCGCACTGTTGATGTATAGTCCCTTACCAAGACGATACGGTCGTCTTTAATGCTTACAGATTTCTAACGGTGTGTTCTAACATTGACCAATTCATAGTTTGAAAAAATTTATGTAATTATCCATATTTCGTATAACACCAAACTAAATCTTCTGATGTCGTATACAACATACTAAACTTAGTTTAAACAATGCATCTATAGTGTTGATGGGCTAATAAACACAGTCGTGTTCAGAGGTTTCAATTTCACATTGATGATTGAATACTGATCAGTGGTAAGTTTTATGTTTGTCTTACTTACTTACTTACTTACGCCTATTACCCCCAATCGAGCATAGGCCGCACACCAGTTTTCGCCAACCAACTCTGACCTGGGCTTCCCTCTCTAGTTCTGTCCAATTTTTGTTCATTCCTCTCATATCTTTCTCTATTTCTCGGTGTAATGTGTTCCTTGGCCTTCCTCTATACCTTTTTCCTTAAGGGTTCCATGTGAGGGCTTGTCTTGTGACGCAGTTTGGTGCTTTCCGCAATGTGTTTCCTATCCACCAACTCCACCGCTTCTTCCTGATTTCCTCTTCCACTGGAATCTGGTTTGTTCTCTCCCACAGTACGTTGTTGCTGATGGTGTGTGGCCAAGGAATACGAAGTATTCTGAGTAGACAACTGTTCATAAATACTTGTATCTTCTGGATGATGGCTTTGGTAGTTCTCCATGTTTCCGCTCCATACAATAGAACTGTCTTGACATTTGTATTGAAAATCCTTATTTTGGTTTTGTTTGAAAGTTGTTTGCAGTTCCAGATTTTATGTTTGTCTAGTTCTTCAGAATATTGATCAAAGTCTGTTAATCAAGCAATGATGTGGTCACAAGTTTCAGTGAATCGATACTGCTGATGCGTTCAGTGATTGTAGATAGTCGACAAGAAATCCTGCCTGACTGAAGTTTCCTACTAATTGGCACTTTTCAACCAGGCAAACCTACAATCTTACAAAATTTTGGGGCACAGTTTTGGAGGTTTGCGTTTTTACACATTTGAAATCATCAATCAATCATTGTTAGACCACCATTAGAAACCTGGAAGCACTGGGACTCATCCGATGGTGAGGCGTTCGCCTACAATGCCAAAGGTCCCGGGTTCGAATCCTGCGAGGAGCAGGAGTCGTGGATGCGCACTGCCACTGATGAGTCCCATACCAGGATGAAACGGCCGTCTTACAGTGTTTCTAGGTTTCTAATGGTGTTCTGTCTAACAATGACTGAATGATTATTTCAAAAGTGTAAAAATCTTACAAAAATCGATATTCTCTAATGGACTCAAACCCAAATCATCCAATTTCATAGTCATCACTAAGGTATTCGACCAAGAACTAACATATTGACGTTCATTGAGTATCAATAAGTATCAATAGATGCCATGTTTGTTTAGTCTAGTGATGTTTTTTTCGCCCGCCAAAAACTAAATTTCACACAATCAAAACAAAAACAAAACCGGAAGAACACCAGTTCAGCTTACCTTCAAATAAAATTGGTGAATAATTATTTACTGAAGAAAATAATTGTGAATTTTTTACAATAGATTTTGTTGTCGCGGTTGTTGATGTTGATGATGTTGAAATTGAACAATGAACAGATGGTGTTAAATGTTTCAATGAACTATTTTGTTTATCTGAATTGAATGTCGTATCGGCGGTTCCGTCAAATTTAAATATTTCACTATGATTATTGTTATCAAGTTGATTTTGTTGTTGTGATTGAAGAAATTCATGTGATTTTTGTAAACCAAAATAATAATTACAATAATAATAATAATAATATTGTGATATTAAATTGTTTGAATTTAGCGGGTCATATTTCTTGTTCAATGGTTCAATGTTTTTATTGTTAATTTCAACGAAAGATGTAGGCGATGAATAATGAGAGTGTAATTCCGTTCGATTATTATTATTATTATTGGTAAATTGTTTTAAATGATCGATATGTTGTAAATGTTTCATCATTTGTAACCATTCTTGATAAGTTGTTGTTGATGTAAAATCGAAATTGAACATTGAATGCGAAGCACTAGGTAATTGGTGTTGTTGTGTTGACAAGGATGTTGATGGCGTCAGCGATGACGATGGTAGGATTGTGGTATTTACTGATGATGTAATCAAGTTTGCACAACATGAACGTGGTGGTTGTTGTTCGTTACAATTTTTAGTATACTTTTCAATATTCTTCATTTTTTGAAATCTAGGTGGAATAAAGTGAAAATAGTTTTTTTTAGGTCATTTTATAGAATGGGTTTCACGAAAATTCAAAATGTTTACTAACTTCAACTTTGATCATTTCATCCTTTGAATAACGAACTGAAACTAGAGTGAAAATTTTTCAACTATGTGATATGCTCGTCAATGGATATGCTTGAATGCTATGACGAGTTCACTTTAGTCGGTTAACGGAACGAAGAGCAACGACTCAGTGACACGATAGACTATTCTAATCTGTTTGTCCCCGGTTCGGCTAGCTAGATCAAGAAATCTTGATAAGGCGTAGAGAGTGTATTCTAGAAGCATCCAGAGGATGTGAGGTTGCTAAGCACACAAATCAAGCTTAGTTATACAATGTTAGAAACGCCATTTGGAAAGCCACAATTTTGCGTACGAAAATAACCCATGAACCAATGATAGTCAGAGATAATCCGAGTTGGAAATGTGTAAGCTGAAGGTTAACTAAGCGATTTATGCGCGAAAACATAAAAAATCCTAAATTATGACCCTTTCTAAGTAAGTCCTCAACACTGTGCGCATCTACAACCATACTACATGGGATTTTACTTGTGATATAGGGTCGTGCACATGAATATATAACCTGTTGACAGAACCCAATGGTATATAATGTCTAAATTCAATCAGTTCACTATACTTTACGACCGTTTTGTATTACATAACTATAACGTTACTGATAAATCTCTTGGTTTAGCTGAAATCAATTCATAATTGAAATTATGAAAATTCGACAATCATCACAAATCATTCTAAACTAAGGAGAGATGAATGGTAGTGAGTAATGGAATCCAGGGCGCGCAATTGTTTCATCCTATATTGGTCTCATCAGCTGCAAGTATCTGTTGGGGTGGGTTAAATCCCCAGAGCTCATTTGGAAAGGTCCTAATTTTGTAATCTTAAAGGACGAAGGAAAAAGAACACATTACTCCGAATAATGGAGACAGACATTAGAAGAAGGAACAACAATTGGACAGAACTAGAAAGGAAGGCTTAAGACAGTGTAGACTGGAAAGTGTTAGTCAGCGGCCCATGCTCCAAGTAAGTAAGTAAGTAAGTGCATAAGTAAGTAAGTAAGTAAGTAAGTGCATAAGTAGGTAACCAAGTAAGTATGTAGTTCTAGAAGGAGAAGAAAGAAAGCATAAGAAAGTAAGTGCATAAGATTGACCACACTGAAAGATGGCCGTTTCGTCCTGGTATGGGACTAATCATCAGTAGTGCGCATCCACGACTCCTGCTACTCTCAGCAACCGAACTTACGGCCTTCGGTCTAGCTTGCAAACAGTTAACCACTAAACCACTCATCTGGTCGGTACGCAACTATGTTAATGTCTAACTTCGATCAATCCATGGTCTTGCACAACCTCATCTACTGTCGTTGGTAAGCAAGGCCATCCAGTGCTTCCAGATTTCTAATGGTTTTGTCTAACATTGATCGTGATCATGATTTCAAAAAGTAACTGTACAATCTTCACAAATTATATAAATTTGTCAAGATAGCTGAAACTGACTTCTTGATGCATTCCTGGAGTTCTAGTAAGAAATTACGACCAATGTAGTACAATGCCTGTTGGACATGCTACAGTTATCCATTATAGATATTCAATCATGGACACACTGAATTTAGACATGAACACCGCTGAATGTTGACTCAGTAGTCTAGAGGTTAAGCATTCTCTCGCAAGATTAGAGGTTTTAGATTTCATTCCCTCATGCATAAAACTAGGAAGTCTCATACTAAAACGAAATAGCTACTCAGTACATATCAGTTCGTGGTCTCACCTATGAAACTACTGTAGTGAACGAGAACACAGGTGGAGCAACCGAATTGTATTTAACGAAAATTACAGAGTTACTCACTCAGTAAAATATCGGAAAACCATATCGTAAATCGTTAATTTGCAAAATATCAGTTCATCATATCAAACTGGACTGTTCCTGTTGCAAAACATCAATCCATTGTCACTCACTATTCATGCGTTTCATACAAATTCCATTGTTTTCTAACTCTTCCTTTCTTAATCGGAAATAACATCAAACTTTTCGTTAACAGAAATCTTTCTTAAAGTACCATCTCATAAATACAGATTACTTATGTATAGCTATTCACTGTAAATACTTCAATCCTCCAAAGAATTAGTCATAGTCTAAATAGTTCAATGGTTCCTACTATTCACAGTGCTCATTCAAGAGTTACTTACAGAAACACTCTCCAACATGCGGTGGTGAGTGCAGTCAGTAATCATGATCAAAGAAAAAAGTTACATCATCGCAAAAGTCATACACCTTCAGTGAGTGAATTCTAGCCTAAGAATTATTCACAAAAATTTGAGCAGTGCAGTACAAAACCTGTAGGACAGAAGACAGTTATCCCCCCATAAATATTCAACGAAAGTTGCTCACTAGCAACTAGTTTCGTGAAGAAATTCTTGGAGTTCTTATGAGAAGATATAACCAATGGTGTTCAACCCTGTTCTAGTAGTGTGTAGGCAATAACTACCGAAGACAATGGTAGGTGTGTTGGCGTAAAGATTAATCACAGTTAGACATTAACACCGTTAGACTACCGGCTCGCTAAGTAGTCCAGAGGGGTAAGCGTTCACGTGTTCAAGGCAGAAGGCCTTCGGTTAGACTCCAGTGAGCAGAGGTCGTGGATACACACTGCTACTCATAAGTAAGTAACCCCATACCAGGATGAAACATCCATCTTTCAGTGCTTATGAATCTCGATTGCTGGTCTCACAATGATTCTTCATTCACCCAAACCCGAAAAAACGGTAAATCAATAGTTAAATAAAACATTAATCTGACCATGAATGACGACTATACGACCACATAATTTATACAACTTACCTAGTGTTTGAATAATTCCAAATACAACAAATCAATAATATCTCGTTGTTTAAATCAAATCATACAGTGTTAATGTATGTAGTTGACATTTAAATTATAAATAATCTCTCCAACTTTGCAATTCATAGAATATATTGATTGAAACCACTGCTAGTCGGTTAATAAATTAAAAAATGCACTTGAATAAAAGAAATCAAGTAATTTTCCACTTGTTACAATTCGATTACATCCACCCTAACCATAATACTATTATTAGTAGTATTAGTAGTAGTAGTAGTAGTCTTTTCGATATGATCGCAATTTGACTAGAATTTTCTGATTGGTTAAAAATGAAAGTATGAATAAAAACTGTTTCTTTTTCCTGATCAATGATTGGTTGAAATTTGATTTCATTCAGCTTTTTGACAATAAGCAAGTTGAGAGGTAGAGTATAGAGAGAGATATGTAAAAAAGGGAGAGAAAATTAGTGTAACAAACGATATATACCATATCGAATTTGTATCCTTCTGTAAAATAAAACAGACATGTGAACGAAGTGTATGTTTGTTCATGTAAAAATATTAAGGTTGAATTTGATGTCAACCAATCAAAATTCAGGAAATTAGAATACCTTTGTATGCTGGTTTATGTTGACAGGGGAGAGAATCTGTATGACACATATAGAAGTATGTGCATTACGGGGTTGTGAAGATTGTTGTTAAGTTGCACATTTTCGAAAACCATGAATCGATCAATGTTAGACCCACACCATTAGAAACCTTGGAAACACTGAAGGACGGCCGTTTCGTCCTGGTATGGGACTAACTCATCAGCGGTTGTGCGCATCCACGACTCCTACACCCCACAGGATTCGAACCCAGGACCTTCGGTTTTGTACGCGAACGCCTAATCATCGGACCATTGAGCCGGTATCTAACGGTGTTAATGTCTAACTTGATCAAATTCACGGAGTTGCGCAACCTCATACACAGTCTTCGGTAGTAGTTACTGTCTACACTCGAACAGGTTGAACCTCAAGTATGTACTGAAACTTTTTATTATACATATTTAGATTGAGCATGGATTGACTTGTAGCTGGGATATATCATGAACTGATGATATCAGTTCTGTCTGTTCGGTTTTATTACGCAACACCTTTGTAGTGAGAACTTACGACTTTTTCGACGATCCACATCGAAGACTTTCAGATTTAGAGGCAAGTACTTCATACTTATATTACTTAATCGGTATTTAGCGGTATTTATCTTCAGTACGGTATCACAATTGCCGCCTGGTTCGAAGGATGACCGAACAACCGAAAATCATGGGTTCGATTGATTCTGAGATAAGGATTGTGCTGAAAAAAAATAGATTTCGCAGTTGGAATCAAATCATCATAGAAACGATCTCAAAATTTCAAATGATCTTTCTAACTGGTTAAAAAGACGCTAATTGTTTACTTACTTACTTACTTACTTACTTAGGCCTGTTACCCCGAATGGATCATAGGGCGCCGACCAACATTCTCTAACCTAACCTGTCCTAGACCTTCATTTATAGTTCTGTCTAGATTGCTGTTCATTCTTCTCATGTCTGTCTCCATTACTCGGCATAGTGTGTTCTTTGGTCTATCTCCTTTCCTTTGACCTTAGTGATTCCAGGTGAGGTTTTGTCTTATGACACAGTTGGTTAATTTCCTCAGTGTGTGTCCAATCCACTTCTTGCGCTTCTTTCCTGATTTCTTCCCCCACTGGAATCTGGTTTGTTTTCTCCCACAGTAGGTTGTTTCTGATGATGTCTGGCCAACGAATCCGAAGTATTTTGCGTAGACAACTGTTAATGAATACTTGTATCTTCTGGATGATGGATTTCGTAGGTAGCCAATTTTCCACCCCCATACAGTAGAAATATCTTGACATTTGTATTGAGAATTCTGACTTTGGTGTTGGTTGGTTGATAGTTGTTTTGAGTTGTAGATGTTGTACAATTGTAAAAATGCAACCCTCGATTTGCCGATCCTCACTTTCATATCTGCTTCAGATACACCGTGCTCCTCAATCAGGCTGCCCAAATATGTATAGGATTTTACATCCTTCAAGTCATCTCCATCAACCGCGATTCGGTTA